TTGGAATCGAGTGCTAAAGGGAGCGTTACATTTAAATTGGCTCAAAATCACAATAAAGCAAAAAGTAGAAATTATGCTAATTTTTGCAGGAGGAAATTCAAAAGCGGCTCTCACTTCCGGCCGACCTGAGATTGCCCGTATCGGTGCTCGAGAAGCTGAACAAGACCCCGTTGGACCAGCCGTTGACGCGGAAAAATCGGAGAGCAAGTTTGGTGGGTGTTTTTTTTTTGGGCGTTCTTGATACAGTAGAATAGGTACTTTGACCGTAGCTCTCCGCTTTTGTATTTCGTTACGTTCCGTTACGTATTACGTTCTATCCCTGACGCGTTAACAAGTATATCCAGTTGCGGACAATATCGTTATATAGTTCCATCCTGAGTTTTCGATTTTAGAGCGAAATCGGGTTCGGCAAACTGGAGACGTACGAGAGGTTAGAACGCCTCGGCGAGGGCACCTACGCCACCGTAATCAAGGGACGAAGCTTGTTGACGAACAAATTTGTCGCATTAAAGGTGGTTTACCAAGTTCGGCCAATAAATCTCGTGAATTTAGGAGATTCGATTGGAGCAAGAGGAGGGCGCCCCGTGCACAGCAATCCGAGAAGTCTCCTTGCTGAGGAATTTACGTCATGCTAATGTGGTGAGTTTTGAGCTTTTTCAGGAAGAAAATGTAAGACTGAGCCTAAGCTTAAGCCTATGCCGAAGCCTAAGCTAAGCCAAAGTGTTTAAGTCCAAGCCCAAGCCTAAGTCTAAACCTAAGCCATTTTAAAATGCCAAATTTTTTGAAATTTTAATTTTAAGTTGTAAAATTTTTAATAAGCCGAAGTATAATATATTTAAGGTAACCTTGCACGACATCATTCATACGGATCGCTTACTGACGCTGGTATTTGAATACGTGGAACGGGACCTGAAACAGTATATGGACGGCATCAATGATCGATACTGCATGAATTTGAAGAATATCCGGGTAAGGTTGCGTTAGGAGCGAGAGAGAGAAAGAGAGAGAGAGAGAGAGAGAGAGAGAGAGAGAGAGAGAGAGAAAGAGAGAGCGTGAGAGAACAAAAAATAATACCGTACTTTTCAGTTATTCCTATTCCAACTCCTGCGCGGCCTTGCTTACTGTCATGCGAGAAAAGTGTTACATCGAGACCTGAAACCTCAGAATTTGCTGGTGACTGCAAGGTTGGTGGAATTTTATAGGGAAAGTGCCAGTAGGGAGAATTGGAGATAATTAAAGAAGTGTGAAAAATATATTCGAGATTACGATTAAATTCCAGGGGCGAGCTGAAGCTGGCCGACTTCGGGCTGGCTCGGGCAAAGAGCGTACCGACAAAGACGTACTCGAACGAGGTGGTGACGCTGTGGTATCGACCGCCGGATGTGTTGTTAGGTGGGTTTGGGCTTGGCTCGGATAGGTCTCGGCCTAAGCAAAGCTTAAACCTGCTAAGCCACTGCCCTCTAAAACTCTTCTAAGAATTTTTTTCAGGCTCCACCGACTATTCGACGCACATTGACATGTGGGGCGTTGGCTGTATTCTCTACGAAATGGCCAAGATGCGACCGCTTTTCACGTCGGTCTCCCGGGACGAGCAGCTGAGCTTCATCTTCAGGTACGTGAGCTTTTACTTTAATACGTCAGCTTAAAAATAGCGGCGTAACAATACGTTGCCGAAAATAAACTTACGTACCGTAATACCGTAATATACCGTAATACCGTAACGTAATACGCCAAAAATACCGTAATGCCACAGTGCTGATAGTTCCGATCAACCATACAATGCAGGATAAAAAACATTGCAACCGCGCTTAATCCTACCGTATCTCTTCTGCGAGGCGCGGAGCATAAAATAAAAAGCAGCACTCCAATTCTCCCCTTCCAAACGTCTATTTTCAGAACGCTCGGCAGCCCGGAGCCGGATCGCCATCCGACCATCTGCAAATCCCCGGATTACGGCACTTTTGCCCGGCAGTGGTGGGTCCCGAGTAGAGATTTTATTTTTTGAAGGGACCGAAAAGGCTGGATTCTAACGAAATATCAGGTTTAACAACACTGTTAATTTTCTTCGAAATATTCTGACTTTATGAAACGATTTTTTTTTCTTTTTCAGCTATGACGACATGGCGAACGGGGGCAGCAAGCGGAGACTCGAATACATGTGCCGAGAGTTTGACAAACGGCTATTCGATTTGTTGAGGAGATTTTTGCAGGTAGGTGCCAGAACTAACCCTTTTATGCCTTCCATTAATTTATACTTGCCATTACATGCATACCGTAGTCCATTACAGTACGAGGGTCGCGACAGGATGTCCGCTCAAGAAGCGATCGACCACCCCTTCATCCGCACCCTACCACCGGCCGTTTTTCTGCTAAAGGTGTGTTTCGTACTGTATTAGGTTTTATCTCTCACTCTCTCGCTCTCTCTCTCTCTCTCTCTCTCTCTCTTTCTCTCTATCTATCTATCTATCTCTCGCTCTCTCTCCCTATCTAACTCTCTAGCTCTCTCTTTTTCTCTCTCCCCTCTCTTGCCCTCTCTCCCCCCTCTCTCACTCTCTCACTCTCACGCTCACTCTCTCTCTCTTTCCTTTGAAAAAGAGTACTGTAAACTTTCTTACAGTAACCCAACATTACAAATTTCAGGACGACGAGTCGGTGCTCACCGTACCAGGGGTGAAGCTGGAGTACGAGCGATCGGATGACGTGCGAATAAGTACGTTACCCGCTGAGGTGAACGCTTTTTATGTCGTTTTTGTGGTCGTGAAATGTCGATAGGTGTAGTAGGTAGTATTGACCAGGCCGTCGTGTCGCGGTCCTAACCTTTGAGCCTTTGTTAGATCGCTAGATTTTAGATTTTTTCGAAGGCATGCTAGCAGAGACTTTTGAGGACAGCAAAAAACTGGGCAAGCTAGCAGAGATTTTCGTAGGGATTCGAGCATACTAGCTAGCAAGAAATCGGGAGGCGGCAGGCTAGCAGAGATTCTTTGAGGAATTCAAGAGGCTGGGCTAGCTAGCAGAAGTGCTTTGAGGAACTCAATCTACTCGGCGAGAGCAGAGCTTCTTCAGCAAAAAGGAACAATTTGGCAATATAGCAGAGGTTTTTTTGGGGAAAAGTGAGAACAGGGAGGCTAGCAGAGATTCTTTCAGTCATTAGAGTGGATGGGCAGGCTAGCAAAGATTTTTAAGGCAATTTTTAGGCGAATAGCGAGCTAGCAGAGATTTTTCGGAATTGTAGTAGGTAAGCAGGCTAGCAGAGATCTTTCTTTACTGATGGATAGATACCATTAATGCAGAGACCGTATAGAAATTATAATGGCTTTAAAAGGCATGCTTTTTAACTCTACTATTGAAATAAAATTTAAGTCAAACCAATACATAATAACCCGTTTCTTTCAGCGAGCCTACATGCGGAAATGAAGGCCCCGAGCTACCGTAAGACGAGCGACGGTGGGGTGGGCGAAGTGGAGCGTCTCGTAGCCGCCGCCCCGCGCCCGATCACGCACAGCGACCGCCTGTAGAATTGTTAAAGTACCCTCATCAACCCGTGTCGCAACCAATTACCCTTTCCAAAGTGATTCGAATCCGGTATTCAGTTTTTTCCCTCGGCCGAATGTCTGCGGCGTCCCCGTCGAAATATGCTAATTTTTGGTGTACGCACCAGATATTGCGAAATTTGGGCGGTTTTTACAGGGGCTAGAAAGCTAGGGAATTTCAAAGCTCGTTGATAGAAAAATTTGGAAAATTTATACGGAAAACCGGATCTATAAATTTTTTGAGGCAAGCTAGCAGAGACCATTGAGGAGAGCTAGCAGTGACCCTGGAGATAAAAATCAGCCCCTCTAAAAGCAGCCCCAGCTTCGTTAATTTATTTATTGCCCCCAAATTCCGGCGCCACGAAATCCCCCCGATATCTGTGATTTTCCCCGATGGCAAACGCGTTGTGAACCTTTAAAATTTTTTAATGATTTGTGAAGTCTAGGCATAAGCCCAAGTCTAAGCCCAAGGCTACGCTTAAGAGGAAGCCGAAGCCTAAGCCCAAGCCTAAGCCCAAGCCTAAGCCCAAGCCTAAGCCAAGCCTAAGCCGAGCCTAGCCTGATCTTAAGCCTAGTCCTAAGCTAAGCCCAAGCCTAAGCCTAAACCTAAGCCCAAGCCCAAACCCCGCCCCCAGTTCTTCTGGCCCCCTTGCCAATTCACCCCCCAAAAAACCCCAATTTGCATCCACCCCCCGGGTGTGCTACCGTATCCAAAAAGGGTCCCACCATATTGCTGAACACACATCCAAAAATATAGAAGAGACAAAAACCGTTTTTTTAGAATATCCCGCTCGCTAGGCAATCGCATCTCACATGTATTCCACCCGAAATCCCCGAAACGCTCCAGAGTACGAGATCCCGATTTAATTATTCGATGGTCTTTTTAGTGTTCTTTTTGATGTTCGTACCCTATCTAGCCCATTTTTCAATTTTCCGGCATTGCATTGCGATATAAATGGATATTTTATTATGGAGTTTTGAAATGCATGGAAAACGTACAAGTGGGAGAGAGAGACAGCTAGAGCGAGAGAGCGAAGTGAGAGAGAGCGAGTGAGAGAGAGAACTGCCGAGAGCCACAGTGAACGAGAGTGAGCGAAGGTGGGTGAGAGCGAGAGAGGGATATAGAGAAAGGCAGCGACAGTGAGGAAGAGTGCGAGAGCCAGATAGAGAGAGAGAGAGAGAGAGAGAGAGAGAGAGAGAGAGAGAGAGAGAGCGAGAGGAAGAAACCGAAGGACAGATAGAGAACATCAGCGGGCGAAAAAAGGCCGATAGAACCCGAGGGAGAGATAGACAGAGTGGGCGAGCGAGAGAGAGACAAAGCCAGTGAGAGAGAGCGAGTGAGTGCGGGTGAGAGCGAGAGAGAGAACTTTCATTTCAAAAAGCACGCCATTCCACAAAACTCATTTATTCAAGCATCACCACCCCATATCCAAGTGGACAATCGATACACGGCATCCCCTGAATGCCCTATGAAGTCTCGAGGTAGTCATAGTTTCGGATGAGATCATCGATGAGGGCCGCGTGACGATCCCCGTATTCGAGGGCGTGCAGGATCGGCTCGAGGGCGGTCAGGTAGGATTGGCCGATGTCGGGCAGCTTCTCCTCGCCGCGGGCCGCCTCGCACAGCTGCGAGCCCTTCTCGCCTGTAAAAGGAGGCCATTCCACCAGGGGTTCTGCTAGCTACATCGCTTGGGTTTGTAAAAGGAATGTGTAAGGAGTCTTTAAAGGAAGCATGACAGGAAGCGATGGCCTTTCCCCAAGGCACTCTGCTCGTACCCCTGACTGAATATCTTTAAACTAGCTAGCCTTCCTCAAAAATCTCTGCTGTTCCCCACTTTTAAAGGGACAGTGACAGCCGACCGTCACACGCAATGCAAGCTAGCAGAGACCCTTTTCCTCTGCCCAGCGACCCACCCTGGTACATATGAATCTCCTTGGCCTTGTAGGCCTCGTAGCGCATCGGGCCGAGCTTGGTGGCCGTCATCTGGTAGATGAGCGCCGGGTTGAACTTGGCCTGCTCGGGGTCGTACGTGTTGCGGTGGGCGGCGTCGCGGCAGTAGCACATCGACCCGTACCCCTGGTCGTCCTTGCTCACCTTCTGCAAAGCGGGTGTTTCAAAGTTATAATGTCGAAATTGACAAGTCAAAAATATCGGTATTTTTGCAAAAAAAAACCGGCAAAACTGACGGCGATGAGGTCCGGGGTGTCGACGGTGCTCTGGCGTGGAGAGACCGCCTTCGCCGTGTTCAGGTCAGTGTCGGAAGGCTGGGGCTGGGGGGCCTGGAAAGTGGGGTTGAGAGGTGGATAGTAGAGATTCTTGAGGAAAAACAAGCGAAGATGATGCAGGGAGCTAGCAGAAGCCATTGAGGAGGGCTAGCCGAGACAATTGAGGAAAGGCTGAATTCGGCAAGCTAGTAAAGATCCTTTCAACTCCTCACCACTGCCGCAGGTTCCGGAGCCGCAGGAGCCGCAGGAGCAACAGGTGCAACCGGAGCAGCAACTTCAGCAACCACGGTGGCCGGCGGTTCGGCAGCGGCCGGCTGCTTCGGCGGTTCCGGGGTGGGGGCCGGGGGAGGGGGAGCAGCTTCTTTCGGTGGCTCTGGAGCGGCAGGGGCGGCGGCGGCGGGAGGGGCAGGTTCTCTCGGGGGCTCTGGCGCAGCAACGACCTGTGCATAGGTGGCGGGCTCGGCCGGCTTCTCCTTCTCCAGGGCGACGGCTGGGGCTGTAGATGATCAACTTTGGCAAGTTGGAAGCTCCAATTTACCTGGTTTAGGATCCGCAGCAGGGGCAGGGGCGGGAGCAGGAGCAGGGTCGGCCGGCGGCTCGTGGGCGACGACCTGGGCATAGGTGGGCTTGTCCTGGGTGGCTTCAGGAGCAGGGGCGGGAGCAGTAGCAGGGGCTGGAGTTGGTTCTGCAGCTGGAGCTGGAGCTGGAGGCGCGGCTGCGGGGAGCTTCTCCGCGATCTAAGGCAATTTTGATAGAAGATTTCGTGTGGCTGACCTGCTCCTTCGATGCGAGAGCCCTCTTCTTCTCCGGGGTCAGCGGGGCACGGACCTTCCGCTTCGAATCCTTGCTTTTCTGAAGGGGCTGCGAGAGGTAATTGCATGGGATGAGGTAGACCTACCTTTTTGGAGGGTTTGCAGGTGCTGTGCTTGGTGGACTTGCTCTTTTTGTCCTTTTTCTGAAAAAAGCAGTGGTACTGATAAAGCTCGATTTAAATTTTGCACTTGATATCCGCCAGGTCCCTGGCCGAACTGTTTGAAGACGTCGAAAAACGACAGAATTCCTCAAGAAGTTCTGCTAGCCCATCTCCTTAGCGATTTGGCCGAACTGCTCGAAGACGTAGAAAAATAGCAGACTGGTTCTTCGAGATGCTTTGCTAGCCGATCCCCTATAGATTCTAGCCGAACTGCTTGAAGACGCCGACACGGCAAACTTCCCCAACATGCTTTACTAGCCCATCTTCCTATCGATTTTTGCCGAACTGCTTGAAGACGTCGAAAACATGGCAAGCTTCCTCGCGAAGTTCTCCTAGCCCTCGATTCCCGAATGATCCTTGCTAGTCACCTTCTTGGTGCTGGCAGTGGTGGTGGGTCGACGATTCGGGGGTGCGCCACCAGCCGCCGGTCCCATGTAGAAGTACCACCAGATGACGGCGGCCAGCCCGGCAACCAGCACGACATGCTGCAGACTTGGGTAACTAAACCGGGCCCTATCATCGGTGGGGTACGGTCGAGCGGGGCTGGGTTTTAGCCAGAAAAATCGGCGTAAAATTTCAAACGTACCCCATTGCAAAAAAGGGAATTCGGTAGAAAATGTGTGTACGTGTGGAAGGAGGGGAGATATGGAAAAAGGGAACGAATGGTTTTTTAGAGAAAGGATTTTTATACTCGAAAAAATAGGCAAAATTGGGCAAACTTCCGGAATCAAATTTTGAAAAGCAAATTTTTAGATGCTGATTGATGCAAATTAGAATAAGCGCGGCTAAAAAAGTTCTTTACCCCGCCTCAACCCCATCCCCCCCCCCGATAATGCAAAAGTACCCAAATTGTCTCAAATCATTGCAGAATTTCTTTCCAGGAAGTTCTCACATTCTCGATGCCCCCGGAAAATAATTGGAAACAGGTGACGCAAACGGGGCCGCAGCGAAAGGCTTCCCCGCCTTGCCCGGGTGTAAAATTTGCATACGCCCTCATTTGCATCCGGGCGGCAAGGAGGAGGAGGAGGAGAGGGGCTCAGGTGACGGCATGTTGCTACGGGCTTGAGAGTTTCGATTTTGTTGTCCTTCGAACTCCTGGCTGCCAGCTTCCCGCTTCCGATTTTACTGCTGAAGCTTAGGCTTCGGCTTCAGATTTGGCTTGGGCATAGGCTTAGACTTCGGCTTCGGATTCGGCTTGGGCTTAGGCTTAGGCTTCGGATTAGGCTTTGGCTTCGGCTTCGGATTCGGCTTGGACGGGCTTAGATTCTGTAATTCGGCTTGGGCTGAGGCCTGGGCTTCGGATTCGGCTTGGGCTTGGGCTTCCGATTCAGCTCGGGCTTATCTTCGCATTCGGTTTGCGCAGGCTTAGGTTTCGGATTCGGCTTGGACTTAAGAATAAGCTTAAACTTAGGCTTAGGGTTCGGGTTCGGCTTAGGGTTAGGTAGGGGTTCGGCTTGGGCTTAGACATAGGCATAGACTTAGGCTTCGGATTCGGCTTGGGTTTACCAGGCTTAATCTTAGGCTCAGGCTCACCATTTGTAGGAACTCCAAACTCCAACTCTCAACTTGGAGCACCAGTTCCCAGCTCCTAATGCGATTTTTTCCATTAAAATTACCAACAAAACCGATGACAAATCCCGGAAACAATTTTAAAACCCCCATTTCGGGCCGAGAATAGCCCCGTTGGTTTCGATGCGCCCGATCGTATCCGTTTTGCGTGCACTGTTTCTCAGGATCGTATCCTCCCGCGCGAATTCCATTCGATATTATGTGCGAATTTATGGTGGCTGTGGCCCGAAACGACGGCACGCACACACGCATTTCAGAACGGATGCCGGGCGAGGGGGCTGACTAAACGGAGGATCGGAACGGAGTTTCGTCTCGAATCTTTACCGATATTTCGTTCGTTCCGTTGTTATCTATGCCGTATCACAACATTTTTACTCTGTATTTTTGCGTGCAGGATATCGTAGAGCCCGCAATTTTATTCTTTTGGTTTTATAGCTGTTTTAACCCAGTTTTTTTCGCTAAAAGTTAAACTGTAGGGCAGGCTAGCAGTGATCCTTAAGCAGCTTGGCTCGCCGGTAAGTCGAAGGTAGGCTAGCAAAGATGCTTGTGGAAATTTGTCCCCGGCACCAATTTATGCAATCGGGCAGAGATCGTTTAAGAAGCTAGCTTTCCTGGCAAAGCACAGGCGAGCCAGCAGAGAACTTCGAGGAAACTGACTCTCTCTCCCTCCTTCTCCCTCTCTCTCTCTCTCTCTCTCTCCCTCTCTGTCTCTCTCGCTTTGTCCCTCTCGCTCTGTCTCTCTTTCTCTCTTGCTCTTTGTCTCTACCTGTTTCTCTCGCTCCCTTGTCTCTTGCGGAAAACACAAGAAAACATATTAGTGATTATTGAGCGACGCAAATTTCCGGGCTACTATGAAATAGAAGTTTTTAGAGTTTTTAGAGACCTAATAATGACGAATCTGCTTTCAGATACCTCCTCCTTTCAAAACAAGTTGTTATTTCTCTTGAGGTATACGATAAGCTGCGCCTAAACGACCCCAAGACGGTATCGAAAATGACGATCCCCGCCGTTGGTTTTGGTCAATAAACAGCTTACACTCTGTGTGGGTCAGATGCGTGTTCGAAAATATCGGTCGGCGAGTTCGGTGAAAGCAGCAAAAAGCGGAAATGTAAATAGGGGCGGATGGGGGGCGGATGGCATGAAATATACACGCACTAACATCGCCCACCTGCTCAAATAGGGGCCGCTCGAGTTTTTGGTGGCGTCTGGGTACTTCATTTGGTTGGCAGTTGGCTGCTTATGGCCATCGATAATCCTTAAAGTTTTCTACTAGTTTGCCCTGCTCTTGGGATCCAGCTGAAGCTCATACTTCCCCAAACGGCCTCTGCTAGCCTGCTTTTCTATTTCATTATTTCCAGCGCCTAGGCTTAGGTTTTCCTTAAAAAATCACTGCTACTCCGCCTTGTTCCTTCGATCTAGCTGAATCTAAGGATCCCCAAATTGTCTCTGTAAGCCTACCCTCCACAAGACTTTGGCCTGACAGATGCTTTCCTCAAGGATCTTTGCTAGTCTGTCAGCTGTCGAATAAAATTGTAATATTGCCATTTCCCCAATAATTTTTGCTAGCTTACCCTGTTTTTCCAGGCGCCGTACTTGTTAGTAGTAAAGCAAACTAGCAGAGATCCTCAAGGAATCCCTTTTTCGTAAGGCAAACTAGCAGATCCTTTAGGAAATTGCCTTTAAGGAGGCAAACTAGCAGAGATATTTAAGGAAATCTCCCTTTATTATGGCTAGCTAGCAGAGATTCTTTAGAAAATCCACCTCATTAGGGCAAGCGAGCATGAACCTTTAGGAAAACCCCTTTAATAAGGCCAGCTAGCAAAGATCCTTTAGGAAAACGCCTTTAAGGATGCAAGCTAGCAAAAGGTCTTAAGGATCCCTTCAATAAGGCAAGCTAGCTGAGATCTTTGTTAAAATCGAGCTTAATAAACCAAGCTCCCTATCATTCCAGAACACACCTCCGTACGCATGCCTTTTCCGGCCCCCGAAAACCCCCAAAAAACGGTCTATTTGCTACGAGTCCGCTCGATCACCCCGAGACCCATCGAGGAAATCGAGAAGCGACCGCTTCTCGATGTTTTCCGCGACGATCCACGATTACAGCTCTATTTACACGGTCCGACGTCGGCTACCGTAATCCCTAATTGGGGGACAGGGGCTAGGGGCCAACAGTCAATTTGTGAACTGACCTCCCCTTGCCTGCGATTTGGCCGTAAATAGTAGCTTAGCGTTCCCGGGGGAGTGGCTACATGAAAAGCCGATTTTAGTGGCATGCCGGACAGCCTGGGTTTTCAATTTTGGTCCCTTAAATTTTAAACTTGAAATTAAAATCATAGCACTTTGAAATATTATCATATTTCTGGGAAGATTAATATATTGAAATGTGAATATAAAACCCCAGACAGCGTTTAAATATGGTTATTTAATATTTTTCTTATTTTACGATTTTTGGACAAAATTATTGACTATTTTAGGCATAAAAATAACCTTTTTTTACAAAAAAAAAAAACAATTCAGGAATAGGTCGATCCGATGGATGGCTAAGTGGTAGTGCACTAGCCTATCAGTCTCATGGCCGGGTTCAAGTCCCGCCCGGCGCAGAATTATTTGCTTTTGGCACCCAAGTCTTTAAGCGGTTTTTAGAAGCGTTTCACACTCTCGAGAGCTTTGAAAGTTACTCGACTGGCCAGTTTCCGAACTCCTTGCCCCGACCGGCAGCCATTATGGCGCGCTAAACGGCGCTCAGATAATTCTTCCATTCAGAGGCGGCTGCTTCGATTTTTGTTCTTTTCCCTTCTTACCGTAACCTCTTAAAACAGATAATATTTTGCCATTTTTTGCCTATCTGTTTTTACTTTTTTTTCTATCATATTTTTGGGCGCTTTTAATCCGATGCGTCAAGCTCAACACTGCCTTTTTGCTTTTTGTTTGGTCGAAAAATATTTGCTCTCGCGTTATTTGCATACTGAAATGGGGAATTTTCGCTCGTTTTTAAAAAAATTAAATATTTAGGTTATTTTTCCTAAGTTCGAGAGCGATGAAATTCAAGAGTTCAACTGGTTTGTCTGGATCAAATCGACTGGATTTAAAATTCACTCAATTTACATGATTGACGTAAATAATTAAAGTAGTTTTGAAAAAGGAAACCCTGAATATTCTGGCTTGATAAATAAGGGGAAAATTTAGGTTAATTAACTCGAGTAGGTTTTCTAGCAGGTTAAAGGACCTAGAAAGCGCAGAAATCGCACTTTTCAACCAGATAGGTCTCGACAGCTACGAAATACTCCAACAAACGTCTGCGAAGCGATTTAGATTTGCTGCAACGAAATCACATCTCTGTATACTGAATATACTATCGCCTAGCTGTCGAGATCTAGATACCCGCTGGGGTAGGGTTTTGGCGCTTCCCAGTGCCTTTAAAAGCATCAATTTTGACTTTGAGGTGTTTAACTCGAACTATTGGATCCTAATTTCATAGTTACAATTCGTTGTTTATTTCGTAAATCGATTCCGAAACCATTTACAAATCCTTGAACCGAACGATTGACGTCCCAAATCCCCAGTCGCACGCCCCCCTTTTTCGCACATACCACCACTGATCCCAGCGATTTTTGAATTTTCAATAGACCTGGGCAGGCGGTTTCGCCGATTCGATTTTCGGCTCCATTTCCTTCACGCGTTTTCCTTTTCTTCCTTTATATTCCGTTTTTTAGATTTTTACATTCCACTGAAAATGTTGCGTGAAGCTCTGCTCGCCCTGCTCGCCGTCGTCGCCATTCAATTAGTCGGTCAGTGATTCGATGAAGTCACCCAATTTAAGCCTAAACCTAAGCCTAAGCCTAAACCTAAGCATAAGCCTAAGCCTAATCTGACCTTTGCGAAGTCTTATGGAGGAAAGTTTCTCATAAGAATCTTTAGTATCAGCGCCCGCTGACGCAGCCGACTTGTTGAACAGCGCCGACACGAACGGGACAGATGGAAGTGAGTTACCCTTAGAAATTACGTTAAAGGGAATAGCAAGTATTGACAGGGTTGCGGATAAGCCAGATGTTACCATCCGCTATAGTGGAACCTCGAAAGTTTCTGGTCGAAAAAGATAGCTAACTAACAGAGCTTCTTGAGGAAGTCGATGTACTAATGTAGAGGGAGCTTTTTTCACCTACAGCCATTTACGGAAGCTATCTCCGCTTCTGACCAGAGCTCGATGGGTAGGCTAGCAGAGATTCCTTAGGAAATTTGGGACACTTTTAGGAGGCGCAACTTTTCTGGAAGGCAAACTAGCAGCGATTTTTTACGGTTATCCGTTGCCATTTATCGATTCCAATTTTCATAAACTTATTTCACCACGCCCGCGACACGCAACGCGCACGCGTCTCATCCGCGTTCGGGAATCCATAGGTTATGTGCCTTGATGGTCCCTTTAAAGTGCACGATTGCTGTTTTTCGTCTACGCAGCGTCTTACCTATTACGCCATGGAACTGTTTGCGTTGCGTGTTGCGTTGCGGAAATTTTGAAAGAATTCAGAGCCGTCAAAAACTTGCCTGTCCCTTTAATAAAGCGCTTTAGATGGCACATTCTTGGACGACAACTCGACGTCAAACGGGACCGGAAACGATCCGGACGGCGCGGGAATGAGCTCGATCCCGGCTGTCCTGCTCTTCTGTTCCCTCTTCGTCTCGCTCCGCCAAATTCTGTGAATATTTCCTCCCTGAAGAATCCCGAAAAATGTATTTGAATTTCTCTCCTTCCCTCAATCGCAAACTTAGCCAAGTTTTAATTTTTCAAAAAATCCATATCAACCCAATTTAGCTTTAAAATAATTTCCAATACTTTTCACAAGTACTGTTTAACCCAAATTCTAGTCAATTCTAAATCCAAAAAATTATTTTAAGTTTTTAAAACCAAATTTCCGCAAGATTACTGTGCCTTATTTCTCCCCGAAAATTGTGATAAATTTGTTTTTCGTAGTTTTTCCAAACAAGGAATAAATTTTTATTAGCGAAAACACAAAAATATCCAAGTCAACGTATTCAAATTTGATGCAATAATCACAGGATTGGGTATCAGGGATCGGAAAAACGACAGAAACATTCATTACTAAAAATATAGGCTTTATAGATGCATATAGAATTCAAATCGTTACCCGTATTGGAAAGTACTAGAGTGAAATGGTGGGGGAAGAATCGAAAAAATGATTTTTATAGGGTTTTTGGACTTTTTGATGGAATTTTCAGCCAAAGCTTAGACTTAGGCTTAGGCTTTTAAGCTTGGCTTAGGCTTGGGCTTAGGTTAAGCTTAGGCTTAGCTTAGGCTTAGGCTTAGGCTTAGGTTAAGCTTAGGCTTAGGCTTGGGCTTAGGCTTAGGCCTAGGCTTTGCTTAGGCCTAACTTAGGTTTAGCTTAGACTTAGCTTAGGCTTAGCCAAATCAAGTCAAGTCAAGTCCAAAAACCCTCAAAAATCCACTACAACAAATGCATCAAAAGCACGGAGCTGACTGCGAGGAGAAATACGCTGGAGGTGGCCGTGTCTTCTAAAAAAATGGCTATAAAATGGCGGATGTATTTTAATGAGAAATCTGAGTTACTAAGGACTAACGTTAACCTTTGAAAAGGCATAAAACTGACCGTCCAACTCGCTCGAATCGTCGGTGTGGATTATGTACATTACCGGGGTGGTGTCCCTGAATTCATATAGTAAAAACATTAATAAAATAGCAATTCCCAAAGAATCCCTGCAAGATTGCTCGGTTGAAAAAAGGCTAGAAAAATACGAATACTTACTCATACGTTCGGGCGGCAAACTTTGGATTTGGTCGGATGATGTGGTCGCCTTCTAAAAAACCAGAAGGTATGAAAGGTTGTAAATAGCTAAAAAATCATAATGAATAGGTTAAAGTATTGATAAAATTACCCACCCGGTAATATATCAAATTTGAGTTTCATTTTGTTCGTCTCACAAAGGCCACCTCTTCGCCGATCGATGCCGTCACTTCTACCGTTTGAAGTTGCTGAAATGATTGATTAATTTTTTTGCGACTATGTTATCTGGAGTAATGTTTTTTAAGTCAAAAACTCCACTAATTACTTACTGATGAAATAGTACGTCTGGCCAGGCTGAAATTCGAGCCCGCCGGGGGTGGGGCTGAACTGGCGGAAGACGATGGATAACGACTGAAAAATTGGGTATAATTTTAGAAGCGAGAGAGAGTGAGGGCGAGACAGAGAGGGAGCGAGAGAGAGAGAGTCAGCCAGAGAGCGACACATAGAGAGGGAGAGAAAAAGCGAATTAAGTGGCGAGACAGTGTGAGCGAGAGATAGTGAGAAAGTGAGAGAGAGAGCGAGCGAGCGAGAGAGCGAGCGAGAGAGAGAGCTAAAGTTCTGGTACCTGCTGGGTCGTCGGTGAATCGCAAGCTCCGACTCTATGCGGGTTTGCGCCGAGGTAGCAGTGTTGATACTCCTCGGATGACACCTGGAAAGGTACCGTAATTCCTTGATTTTTTTTCGTTTTAGCAAAGAATGTCTGCTAGACTCGCTCCCCTAGAAAGTATACTCCCCTCCCCTCTAAGGGCGATGTGTGGGGGAATATGATTTCCTCAGTGTCCAATTGTCCACCCCGAGTCCTAACCCCCCCACCATCCAATCCAAATTTGATTTCCCGATGGCCCGCGGGCTGGCCGATCCCTAATGCCCCCAAATCGGGCGTCACACAGACTACACGACAATACTATGAACACTTTGACGTCGATAGGAGCATATGGGGAAAAGCTAGCGCCGTAACAGGTGCAATATCTGGTTTATTCAAATTTAGCTTTATTTCGAGCAGGAAAATCATCTAAAAAGTTTTGAAAATTCTGTTTTTAAACTATAGACAAACATTTCAGCATTTTCTTTCGAAAAAGGATAACTCACCGCATAAATAATGGAGTATTCATAATCCTCAGCATTCGTCGGGGCGGAGCATTGAATTTTCAGGCGATCGCCCACCTGCGCCGTGATCACGTGCGCGTTGCTGCTGATCTCGAAGCTGAAAATAGAGGTTTGGGATGGAAATCTTTAATGATCTTTGCTAGCCTGCCCTTTGCTAGAAGACGAAGTTTTTTAGCTGTTTCTCTTTGTTCCTTGAATTTTTTTCCTAAATCGCCAACTTTTCATGCTTGAATAGCTCGAACGGGGTCGAAATTCTGGAAAATATCAGGATAATCCAAACGGCGCTTTCGACATAATTCGAAAATCGTCTCTGCTAGCTGCGTCTTGCCAAAATTTGCTTTTGTCGAAATTTATTCACCCCCAAAAAAGTCCAAAATTTAAATTTCAGCGAATTTATGAAATCGGTTTCGCCAAGACACCATTTCGACAAAATGAATTTCGATATTACAATTTTCGAAAAACCCGACTTTCGACAAAATAAAATTTCGACGAAATGGATTTTGACAACACAAAAAAAACTGGAAAAACAGCTTTTTTCTAATTCGCAAAAATACAGTATTACTAGCTAGTGCTTGCCGTCCTGGTCCCTTTAATTGTAGCCCTATCCCCCTTACCGTCTGCCCCCCCCCCCCAATAATGAAAAAGCGGTGAATTCCAGCGCGGTGGGCATAAATCCCCTCGGGACGCCGCTAGGCTAGCCTAGCATGTATAATTGGTGCTGGGGCCATGATCCCCCTCGTCGTCCCGTGGGCCCTAAAATGGGCCCTTCATTTAGAGGTGGGGGCCGAATTAATGAATACACACAGGCCCAGTGAATCGCCATCGAGCCTTAGAATTACCCGTACCATTGCGCTAAATTTCGAGCGCTGTAATGAGGACTGGAGCGGAATACGAGTGATTTTTGGGTATTTTTGTGAGAATCCGCCCCAAAACTCAAAAAGTGGGTTTCTCTGGCAGTTGGCAAGCCAGCGGAGGTCATTTGAGGACGTCTACAGCATTAAAAAGATTCATATTAAATTAACCCCAAAATCCGATCGCTCGCTTTTCAGCCCTAAAAACTTTTCAGCCTCCTCAAAACCATCCATAAATCATCGTGTCTCTTCAGTCCCTACTTTAGTGGGTGACAGCCAACCCCCCCCCCCCCAGAATTTGCATTTCGCCATTTGTCACCAGGGAGAGAGAGAGAGAGAGAGAGAGAGAGAGAGATAGTGAGAGAGAGCGACAGACACCGGCGTCATACCAGACCCCGATGCGTCAACTTTTTGCATAGCCAAAAAGTTGGACTGGATTTTCCGCGGAGTGGCGGGTTTTAAAGGTACTTGGAAGTGAAATTCCCATGAAAGGGCAGGCTAGCAAATATTCTGGGGGAAGTCGGTTAAAACAGCAACTTGCAGAGATTTTTTGAGAAGCTAAGGCAGGCTAGCAGAGAACGCTAAAGATTTTAGTGGTATTCACCAAGATGCAAAAAGCACGGATGCTCGGAAAGCAGGGCAAGCTTGCAAAGAATCTTTGGGACGGGGTGGATTTTTCTAGACTGATTCAGCAAGGACTAGTAAGGATTTCTTCGGACTTGGCAAGCTAGCAAAGATTATTTGAGGAGGCCTAATTCGAATTTTAGAGCGTCAGGCAAGCTAGCAGAATCCACTTAGAAATTCCGTTCCGTTCTCCAAACAAGATCCCTCTCAATTGAACATATCCCGAGGCTATGGATCCCCCAATAGACCCGCAACCTGGCAATTAGTCCCCCCTGGCTCATCTGGATCGAATCCTAGTCGGGATGGGGAATAGCTGGAGTCTATCTATCCATACATACACTCCGCTCCTATGGACGGTCTATCTGTCTCTCTCCCTGCCTCTCTCTCTCTCTCACTCTCCATCTCCCATCCCTATCACCGCGGCAAATCTTCAAGCGAGAGGGTAGCTGCCCACCTCCGAGGTCCTCATAAACTGGCCGCATAAACATTTCCATACCCGGGGGCGACGGCGCCGGAAATGAAAGGTGACACCTGGTGGGGAAGGAAAAAGAACTGTTATAGTGGCTTTAAAAGAGGGAGAAGAGGATTATTGCTTGATTTTTTTCAGGTTAAGATTGCGCTAGGATACGCTAGGATACGCTACGATACGTCAGAAGAGGATTATTGCCTGATTTTTTTTCAGGTTAAGATTGCGCTAAGATAGGCTAGGATACGCCACGATACGTCAGAAGAGGGTTATTGATTGATTTTTTCCAGGTTAAGATTGCGCTAGGATACGCTAGGATACGCCACGATACGTCTTTTTTGTCAATGGCCACCCATTCAGCCAAATTCGAGCTGGCAGATGGCTTGAACCGCCCTGGAACCCCCACGCTTTCCAGGTGGATGCACATTTTGGGTGTCCACAGGGGGATCGGTATCTGGCAATTGTGACAGATCGGACAGCCTCCGGGCGATGATTCCACTACGCTCCAATAAACACTCGCGAGGGGGGGCAGCATTTAGGGTGTGAAATCTGAGACAAACGGGGGATGGATGGATAGAGCAGCTGGGCGGATTGATACCCCAGATTTGTTTAACCACATCCAAATCATGTGGGCAGGCTAGCAGAGATTTTTGTGGAATTCTCTCCCTAGGCGAGCTCCAGAAAAAATGGTTGGAGGGCTAGCTAGCAGATATCTTTGGGGAATTAAAGGGCCCCCGGACGGGCTCCAGATAAAAGATTTAGAAGGCTAGCGAGCGGAAATCGTTGTGGACAATCCGGAGAAGTTTGCGGACCTTATAGGCAAGCTAGCAGAGGACTTTTGCGAGCCCCTAACTACTGGATCCGTGGGAGCTATGAGAACTTCAATTTCCGGCTGAAAAATCCTCAGGTTCAGAGGAGCATCGCGTAGCCCTGGCTTTTAACTACGAGTGGCTCCTATCGACACCTTGATTCTATGCGCTTTTTACCAAGTACTCCCTATAAATCGTCGGAACCAATCGGGCGGCTATCCTTTGCAGTTTTTCGGTATTGTGGGGGTTAAAGGGGCATTGAGAGAGAGAGAGAGAGAGAGAGAGAGCCGGGTGTATGGGACTGATTGTCCGGGCAGATGTCCCTTACGCAAGACCCCTGATGACCCCTGATAGGTCCAGATGAGACAAATTACCCCCACCCCCTAGATCAACCCAACACACGGCGACTCCATAAACAATCTCGACCCGACAAGTTGCCGGCGAGAGAGAGAGAGCGAGAGAGAGAGAGATAGTTAAAAAAGCCCAACTCACATCGGATTCGTCGAGCTCCAAAAAACGTCGTCTAACCGCCGTCCATGGACGAGGGTGATGAGGAAAACGAAGATGGGTAGCCGCCTCACCATCGCATCCTGAAACATGGATAGGTTATACTAAGGATTTCCTCTTTTTTATTTATGAAAGACAATTACACATTACCAAAAATGCACGCAATCCGGTAGACACCCTTTGAGATCGGGGGAGAGCTGGCAGAGATTATTTGAGATGCGAAAGCTAGCGGAGACCATTTCGAAATATGGAGGGTTAGCAGAAAACATTGGTGGATAGATTGGTGGATCTTTAGGGATTTAGAGGCATTATTAAAACGTCTGAGGGCTAGCTAGCAGACTTCCTTTGATAGAAAACCCACAAAATTAACTCGCAAACTAGAAAAGGTTAGAGGTAGACGTTTGAGAGAGAGCGAGTGAGAGAGAGAGAGAGAGAGAGAAAGAGAGAGAGAGGGTGATCGAGAGAGAGAAACATAGAGAGCGAGAGATAGTCGGAAAGAGCGCGAGAAGGAGAGATAGAATTAGAGATCTCTAAGAAAAGCTAGAGTGTGGAAAAATACGAAAAATGTAAATTTGTAGTTCAGAGAAGCTCCGCGAAAAAGTAGCTTTTTTGCATAGAAAAATCTCATAAACATGACCAAAAAGTGACCCATGGCCCCGGGGCCCTCTTGGGGCCCCAAAACACTTGAGGGCCCTCATCGGACCATGGACCAGGGCCCAACCATGGACATGCCCAGAGGGACACACGCGAGTAGAGAAGCGTAATTTTTAATGGCAGCACCACCACGCCCATTTCGATGCTTCGAAACGTTGAGCGGGAGGGAGGGAGGAGGAGGTGGAGGGGATGTGTCGGAAATTGGGTGCTGGAGGTGAAAAGGGGTGAATTATTACGGGGAGATTGATGGACAGACATCTAGATGTGGGAGAAAGGGAGAGAGAGCGAGAGAGAGAGAGAGAGAGAGAGAGAGAGAGAGAGAAAGAGGGGGAGATCTTAATTCTGGATACATGAAAACCGGACGGGCATTCTGAGGGTTTTTGGTGTGTGAAAATTATGAAAATTGATGAAGCGGAATCTGAAAAAACCCGGAAAGAGACGGGAGAGTGAGAGCACGAGAAAAAAGGACAGAGGGAGAGAGCGAGAGAGAGAAAGAGAGAACGAGCGCGAGAGCGCGTGAGCGAGAGAGAGCGGGCGAAAGAGCCAGAGAGAGACCCAACGCGTGCAAGAGCCTCAAAGAATTTCCGGAAAAATGTTGGACAAAGATGTGTAGGATGAGGATGAGGGAGAAAAGCATTTGAGAATGAGCACCGAGAGGATATGGATGGATTTGCGGGCATGGGGGATTGGCCCATAGATGGGTATTATGCAAAGAACCCGGGTCCCGGCGGGTCAATGGGGGATAGAGGGGGGACAGCCGAAGAAGGGTGGTTGACAAGTGGCATCATTCAGCCACCGGAAATAAGCTCATCTGAGGGAGAATTTGGCATAAAGATTGTGCTGGATATACTCGGGGTTATGTTGCGCTACGCAATACAACGTGATGCTACGCTACTATATTCTAAGTTACGGCGCCGTACGCTACGACGCGATACTCTACCGTATGACACAGAGCACGTTACTGTATGAGACACGACGATTCGCTACGTTACGTTACGCTACGTTATGATACGCTGCAGTGTTCTAGGTCACATGACTGTACGCAACGCTACGCTTGTACGTCACGTTACGATACACTAAGATACAGTAATACACCACGATACGCCCCACGGAATCGGAATCGTTACCAGAAGAGAAAAAGAAAAAGGAAAATCCGGGGAGCTTCACGGACGACGAAAATCCCTTGAAAAGACCCAAGAAAAGGGGATGCAAATCGGATTTGCTTGAGTCGAAGAAAGTTGCGAGTCCCGAAAGGCGGCGAGAAGAAAGGGCATTCAGGGCCCAGGGTACTTTAAGGGGGATTCGAGAGTGTCAATGGCAGTGTCGCGTAATGAATTGCGGGTACTTGAGAACGTCCTCAATCAAATTGGGCACATTATAGGGGGTGGGGGGCTTGAACGGAGTATTGGAGCGGAAAATGCCAGGGATTTCATAAGTTCACTAAGAATCTTTGCTGGGTTGCCTTGGGATCGACGGAAGGCGAGGCAATTTAGCAGATATTTTTTAGGCAGGCTAGCAGTGAACCTTGAGGATAAATTCATAAAGGCAGGCTGGCAGAGACCCTTTAGGAATGCATTTCGGGAGGATCAGCTGGCAGAGACCAATGAGGAAGGCTAGCAGAGGCCTTTCAGGACCAGAAGCAAATCTGTGGGCTAGCTAGCAGAGATCCTTGTGGAAAAATTCGGCAGGAATTCGGCAGGCTGGCAAAGTCTCTTTAGGAAGAAATTTGCAGGAAGGCAGGCTAGGAGAGGTATTTGAGGAAATGCCGCACCACAGGCTAGCAAAGATTATTGAGGAATAATTGGCGAGGCTGGCAGGCTAGCAGAGATTTTTTGCGGAAAATCAGGACGAGCAGAGGCAGGCAGACTAGCACGGATCTTTAGGGGAAAATATTGGCAGACTAGCAGGGATTCTTGAGGAAGAATTGGGCACGCTGGCAGGTTAGCAAAGATTACGGATCGACGTCAGCTGGCAAAGATTCATGCGGTAATTTCAACAGGACGGCAGGCTAGCAGGGCTGTTTTGTGAAAAATCCATGCAAAAATTTTCGATAAAAATATAGCTGACCCCGTTAAAAAGCGCTTAAAATACGGCGAGCGGGTGAATCTAAAGATTAAGGGGGTAGGGTGCATTGTAGCAAGCGAGCGGCTAAACGTAAGGGGCGAGTGGAGCCGATCCTCTGCTGGAGGGTAGAGGGGGATAATAGAGCACCGCTTTTTGCATCCCGAGCCCAGGGAGGGGGGCATCATAACGGGTAGAGGGAAAGGGGGCGGGCCGAGGTCATATAGCCCTGGGGCACATGCGTACTACGTACACCCGGCTGTACCACTGCAGGACAGACACCTGGGCGCCGATTTCGATAGGTTAAAGGGACCGGAAAGGCATATTTATGCCATGGATTCGGTCGATGCCGCGATACGCGACGCGCCACGCCACTCACCCGCCTTAAAGAATCTGATACGCCATTGGGTACTTTTGCATTATCGGGGGGGCGAATTTTTTTCTATTTGTTCGGCAATGGCTAGTCACCAAATTTTGGTATAATAATGGTGTTTTTGGTAAAATTTAGCTATGTTAAAAGTGAAAATCTGTTTAACAAACCTTAATTTCTTTAAAATTCGCAATTTTAGTCAAAAATTCGAAGATTTTTGTATCATAAAATCTTTGAGCTTAGTCATGCGTTTAAAAGGAACCTTAGCGAGGAGGGTCGACCTTCCACTACGCGACTTTACGCTGCACTACGCCAGATTACGAACTGATAGGTTATGTTACGCCACAAAATCATAGTTTACGTTAGGCTACAACCTACATAGTGAGATACCTTTAGAAGGGCAAAGAAATCTAGCTGAATTCTAGTATCCCTCGCGAAAAAGTCGGACAATAAGGTTGCTGCATATTCAATTGGAATGTCGAGGTGCGAGAGAGAGAGAGAGAGAGAGAGAGAGAGAGAGAGAGCGAGATAGAGAGTGGCCCTGCTACAAAGTATCATCGATGTGTCCTCCCCCCTTCCCTGCGACATGCCCCAGGGCTCATTAGTGAGTGGCCCGCCTCCACCACAGATTTGTGCCCTGGGCCCTAGCGCCCTTAGGGCCCACCACCGGATGTATCGTGTGATCCCTACTAGGGGGGCTACGCTGGGCTACTATCCACACGGACTGCCTTGACGACCACCCACCGGGGTATGCTAATGGAGTGGCAGGGAGAAAGTGGTGTCTTGACATAAAAGAGTGAGGCTTGGCGGCGGTGAGGGAGGGGGAATGAGAGAGAAAGAGAGAGAGAAAGTCGTTGAGCAAAAAAAAAACATTTTGTTGCTAAAGGCAGACTAGCAGGGATCCTTGGGGCAGCTAAATCCAGAAATTGTCAAAATTTGCATATGCTACACCGAAATTCCGCTGAATTATTCCTTCCACTTAATTAAACCCAAGTTTGAGCTTTTCGGCAAAAATAGGTTTCATCATTCAATCGGAATTTGAGAGACGGCAAGCTAGCAGAGAGCGAATTCCCCCGAAACAACAGAAACCTACCAAAATTTGCATAAACTGCGCCATGCGCCCCGAAATTCAGGAAAAAATAGAAAATAATAAACCGGCACTCCATGATTTTTTGGCCAAAAGAAACCTCAGAAGATGCAAATAAAGGGCGGATTCCGTGGGCAGCCAAGAGCAAACAACCCTCTCAAGGGAGAAGATTCATAAGCGCCCGGGGAGATCACGTAGCGGGACCCAAGAAAGAATCTATTCTCGATTGAGTGGTCTCATCTCATCATCCATCTCTCCCTCTCTCTCTCTCTCTCTCTCTCTCTCTCTCTCTCTCTCTCTCTCTCTCTCTCTCTCTCTCTCTCCCTCTCTCTTTCCCCTCTCATATATTCCAATCAAAAACGGGCGCGGAATCCCGGGGGGAAAAATTCTGGTTTTTTAGGGTGAAGCGGGGGTGAAGCTAGACGGTTTCTCGTGGCCGGGAGTCACACAAAAATCGGATTCCAGCCTTTACATCCCCACGCGGGGAGGGTCGTAAAAAATAGGGGTGGCTGGGGTAGGCGGCGCGGGTTGGTTGAGACGAAAAATGAGTTTGTGCAAGCCGCCAAAAATTAATTGCGCAGGCCCGTTAGGCTTAGGCTTAGCCTTAGGCAGATGCTTCAGCTTAGGCTTCGGCTTCAGCTTAGGCTTGTACTTAGGCTTCATCTTCAGCTTAGGCTTAGGCATAGGCTTAGGCTTCGGCTTAGGCTTCAAGACAACTAGCGGAGGCTCTTGAGGAAGCTACTAGAAAAGTCGAATACTGCTCAATCCCTACAGTCATCGATGACAACAGAGCGCAACCCAACCGTCTATAGGAGGGAACATAGCGGAGCGGGAGGGGGGGGGTAGGTGTCTATTGTGCAGGAGTGGATAAATAAAAGAGAGGACGGCGAACGACGACAGGGAGA